AAAAATAGAAACATTCAGAAAATAAATAAAAATGAAAGAAAAAATTATATCTATTATTAAAAAACAGTAAAAGAAAACTGGTGTCGACGATAGTGACATGTCAAATGGTAATTTTTGCCTCTGGTACACTTCTGGACTCTGGTGTCAGTGCCAATTGTATAGGTAAAGATGCAGCGGAATTTATCAGTAGGCGTTGCCTGTGTTGTAGGACAGCAAGACAAGAGAGATGGATTTTTAGTAGTGCCGACGTTGCAACAACCTTTCAATTTTGACATTGACTTTTGGAAAAACTATTTTGCTTTGCAATTTGGGTTTCTGGGTTAAAAATATTAATTTGAAGTCTTTTGGGTTAAAGTGTCAGATCATCATATCTTACAAGGTGAGATGAAAAAACTGCAACCAACTTCAGACTGCTGTCATTTCTAAACCGCTCGTCCCACAGCTGTCAGATTTATTCTAGTGACAGCTCATTATATTGTTTACAAGCGCACAAAAGCATTTTGGTGGGAATTTTTCAAAAAAAAAGTTATTTGTGATGGAATTCAAGCGTGATAGTGTGATTGCTTTGCATTTGGCTGGAAAACCACAAGTGGCTATCGTTAGAGCCCTCCAGCATTTAGAAGTGAATAAATGTTTTGTGTCTCGTACCATCGCTCGTTACCATGATACTGGTAGCGTAGCCCGACGTCAAGGAAGTGGACGAAAAAAAACAGCAACATCGGCAGAAATGGTTCGAAAAGTGAAAAAGCGAATTGAACGAAATCCGCGTCGCAGTGGACGAAAAATGGCTCGTGAGCTGAACATATCGCAATATGCCATTCGGCAAATATTGAAAAATGAGCTTGGACTAAAGCCATTCAAGTTCCAAAAAGTGCAAGATCTTACTGATGCGCAAAAAAAAGTTAGACTCGAAAAAGCTAAAGAGTTGTTTCGCTTGGCCGAAAGTGGTGAACTGCCGAATTTGGTTTTCTCCGATGAGAAACCATTCGTTATCCAGCAGTTTGTAAACAAACAAAATGATCGTGTTTACTTGCCAGAGAGGTCAGCTGAAAATTTGCAACTTCGGTTGGCCATCACAACTCAAAAGCCGGCCATGGTGATGGTGTGGGCCGCCATAACAGCCGATGGTCGCTCGCCGCTCGTATTCATCGACCGTGGTGTCAAATTAAATGCGCAAATCTATCGCGAAAATATTTTGGAGGGAGTTCTGAAGCCCTGGGCACGCAAACATTTCGGCCGCAGACCTTGGACATTCCAACAGGACTCAGCACCATCGCACTCAGCACGCGCCATCCAAGAATGGTTAAGAAATGAGGTTCCTCGCTTCATTTCCACCGCACAATGGCCACCAAAATCTCCGGATGCCAATCCGTTGGACTATTGTGCCTGGGGTATTTTGGAAAGCAAGGTTGGAACTAAAAAATACCAAAGTGTCGATCATCTCAAGCAAGCGCTTCGCCGAGAATGGGACAAAATACCGCAGAGCCACTTTGGCAGCGTGTGATGGTTTCATTGGCCGTTTGAAGGCCATAGTTCGTGCCAAAGGTGGCCAATTCGAACAAATCTAAACCGATTCTCAAATTTGATGTTATTTCCGACATTTTTTGCTTTCATTCAATAAAATTTAAAAAAAATGAAAAAATTATGGCGTTTTACTTTGTTGCAGTTTTTTCATCTCACCTTGTATATGACAGTACACAAGGCACAGAAAAACTACAGTGTCACTGAATTTGAATGCTACGCAGCGGTGCTCAGGATAAAAAAATTCAGATCTTACGTAGAGGGTGGACTACTATTTACGATGATCACAGATCATATGCCAGTTTGAAATGTTTAATGAGTCAAAAGGACGCTTTCAGAGAGACTTGCTCGTTGGAGCTTGTAATTCCAAGAATTCCATTTTAATATTGAGCAACGCAAGTGAGATCTAAACGTTGTACCTGATGCGCTGTCTTGAATGCATATGAGGGAAATTCGATACAGCAATCGAAATATGGTACTAGACCTTCAAATCCACAATTTAAGTCATCGAAATATGAAGAATTGAAAGTAATAGACGAAGAAGATAAAATACCAGATGTATGTGTATCATATAGGTATATGTATAAAAGATGTGTTTGCAGTACAGGAGATACGAAACAAAAATGCTTGGAAACTCAGGGTTACAACAGAATTAAAGATACAGTTGTTAGAAGCCGCTCACTTGTCACCATCAGTAGGACATGGGGAATATTCAAGACCCTTGCAAGGTTACGTGTGAACTAATTATGGTCTTAGATGTTCAAAAACTGGTAAAATCGTGTGAGCTCTGTAGCACAAACAAAACTTCTAATAAAATGCGAAGACATTTCCAAAGGTTGTACATCGATTTCATGGGGCCGCACAACAGTGTTCAACTATTTTAATTTGTTTTTATATTGCACTGATCTCTTATCAAAAATGGAATTTTTTCGAAGAATGGTTGTCCAATGCAAAATATGAAAGATGCAAAAAACTTTTTATTATTTATTAGTGAAAAGTTTGACTTGTCTGATATAACAGAAGAATCCACAAGAGATTTACAAGTGAAATTGGCAAGTTTGTCAAAGAAATTTGAGGTAAAGCGGTACTCATGTGGAAAATGAAAAAGTTGGTTTTTGGCAAAAAATACGGAATTTCTTCAGTTTGAAGCGGACCTACTTATTCGAAGGAATATTCCTTTACCCTCCAACGTCTTCTCAAAGGCGTAAAATGGTAGGGCGACCTCAAAAACATATGGAAATAGCTTCATATAAGACCAAAAAAAGACGAGTCCATGATTTGATAAAAACGAGTAGTATTGTTGAATTAAAATCAGCTGCTGAAATTGCTCTGCGGTTTGCTGAAATTCGGAAAGCTGCTAATATTATTAAAAACATTACGTATAGTGAATTTAAAGAATCTGAACAATGTGCAGAACAAAACCAAATGCGAAGTTTAACAAATGACAAGGCGTTAGCGTACTTTGTAGATAACACTTCGTTCAATAATGTGTGTGAGTGACACATAGATGGCAGCACTAATATAAATAAATATTTTTTTTCGAAAGTGGCAACCTTTTTAGGCTTACTGTCAAAATCATATGTTAATCCGACCATTTGTTTACAAGTTACAGTGCTTTAAGTGACGCTACTTTTGAGTTTTTCAAAAAAAAAAAAAAATGAATTCAAAGCAATTCCGTGTGCTGATTTAATATTGTTTTTTAATGAAAAAAAAATACTGTTCAATGACAGGAATGGCTTGAAAAACATTATTCGGACTCTGCTCCATCAAAAAGAAGCATTTGTTATTGGTATGCCGAATTCAAACGTGGTCGTACAGACACCGATGTACAGCCTGCCAGCACGCTTAAAGTTCCTAAAACTAGATTGATCACTCTTTCAAACGAAACTAATTTCACGAAAATCGAGTAGAACGTTTATTAATTATATATTTAAAAAAGTGGTTTTTTTACGAAAAAAATGTATGTTAACTAACACCATTCTAATAACATATTGAGGTGAAAATCTGTATCATGCAAAAAAACTCACCACCACTGTAAAGTTTAAAAAAGAACTCTGTTAAATGTATTTATAGGCGGTTGTATTATGTGTTAAGGGAAAATAATAATATTTAATAATTTATAAATTTTACGAAAGAGTACAATGTTTCGCGGTGTTTTTTTTGAAAAGTACACACATTCTAGAATATTTTGGTATATAAATCATTAAAAATAAGTAGACCGATTTTGTAAAATTATCAAATATATATTGCATATAAACAACTAAATTTTCGTCGTAAACTGCATAACATATACCGCTATATCACACATTTTTCAATATATATTAAAAAAAAAATAAGAAGTAGAACAATGTTGCACGGTATTTTTTTAAATTGTTTGTATTTTTCTAATATGAATTAATGCAAAAATTAAATTAAAATCGAGTAATAAATAAAAAAAAATACATGTGTATCCAAATACACATATATCCTTAATATATGTTGGTACATATGTATGGATTGTAAGTTAAGTCACATTTTTACATTTTGGAAAAAATATTGTTCTCCTCGCCTTACCAGGGCTTAACGCAAATTTTGTATGAAATCCTACATTGATATATAGATGTTGCATATATGCGTGCATGTTCTTATCTATAGTAAATACAAGCAACGCATTTGCCTAATTTGAACATTCATGTAGTTTGCGTTTATGTTTTGAGTGGTAAAGTGGGCGAATAGCAAAAATCTGAATAATGGTAAGTATTATAAAATTAAATCAATAAAAAAGTATTATAAAATTAAATCAATAAAAAATATTTAAAAATTTATAATTTAAATTTAAATAAGTAATAATAAATATTAATAATATAAATATTAAATAATAAAATTGAATTTTTTGGTATCTCCCTTTAACAACCGCTGCGTCTACAGCAACAGCAGCGTCAACAGTACCAACAAAGACGTTGGCGTAAAGGACGCCGGTGGCAAGGAGAAAATAACCAACAACATGACGAAAACAGCCAACGGCGAAGTGTTTACCTACGTCGGCAAGAGTAAAACCGTCGACGGTTGGTTGAAAACCGTCGGTTGCATGATGAAAACCGCCGTCGGCAGAAGAAAAGCCGAAATGTGCTGACGCCGACGACAGAAAACGGAACTTCAGCAATCAATAACAGAAATGTAATTTAAATCATATTAAATCATAATAAATTATTAAAAAATTTTTTTAATTTTTCAGAAAAGAAAAAGAAAAGAAATCAAATGCGAAGCAGGTTACAACAACTTGAAAAGGAAAATAGAGAACTGTGAAAAAAATTAAATAATGCAGTTTTTTTCTAATTATTATGTTTTTTCCTAATATAATGTTTTTTCTTATTATTATAATGTTTTTTTCTTATTATGATCGTATGAAAAAAGAGACCTTCATGGAAATACCCAAGTTCCTACTAAAAGACAACAGATATTTCAAATTTGAAAATAAAATTTACAGTCAAACAAAGGGTATGCCTATGGGTTCACCAATATCACCAATAGTGGCCGATATAGTAATGGAAAACATTCTAGACGAAATGATGGTTAAAACATGTAATAAACCACGTTTTTTGACCAAATATGTGGATGACATATTTGCTATAGTCAAATCAAATGACGTAGAGAGTATCTTGACCATATTAAATAATGTACACTTTAGAATTAAATTTACAATAGAAGAGGAACTTAATGATAAACTACCTTATTTGGACACAACAGTTATAAGACATGATAACCGGATTAAATTAAAGTGGTATCAAAAACCAACGAATTCTGGACGATACATTAATTTTGACTCCCAACATCACTACCATGTAGTCCGTAATACTGCACTTAACTTAATTAGACATGTGTTCAATATCAGCGATTCAATTTTCCATAAGGAAAATGAAGAAACAATTATTGGTATTCTAACCAAAAATAATTTTCTAATCAACATTATCAAATCCTTGTTAAAAAAAGCAAAATCTACTGAAAGTAAAAAATCGGAGAATGAACCCAAAATTTATGTATCAATGACGTACATACCTAGCTTCTCCGAAAGCTTTCAAAAATCAAAATGCTTCAACAAAACAACGCATAAAGTAGCTTTCAAAACCACAAATACATTAAAAAATTGGTTTAATAGAACAAAAACTCCAGTAGACAAGTTAGACCAACATAACTTGGTATACAAAATTCCCTGTGAAGGTGACGGAGCCAACGTATGCCAACAGGTATATGTTGGCACAACAAAAAAGATATTAAGAACGAGAATCGCTGGACACAAGCATGATCTAAAGAGTCGCACTACACCCCTGGATCAAAAAACAGCTCTAGCAACACATTGCATTAAAATGAACCATTCTCTCAACTTCGATGAGGTTACAATTTTACACCAGGAGAAAAATTACAAACGTAGGATGTTGCTAGAAATGCTGCATATAATTGACGTTTTAGATGACCAACAACTGAACTACAAGAGGAATACTGAAGGCTTAGCGCAAATATATAGATCACTAATCAAAAATTAATTGCTAAATTTAGATTTACTTTTATTTGTTTTTATAAAAATAATAATTTTCTTTAAAAAATATATTTTTCGTCTGACTATAACAACACTGGTTGTTATTCATTTAAAAAAAATTAATTTCCCCTTTTCATATCCTTTTGTTTAATTATTATTTGACTTTTGACATTTAAAATTTTTTTATGTAATTGTATTTGTAAAATTTCAATAACACTGAAGATGGCCTACGAAGTAGGCCGAAATATCTGTTAATAAAATAATTTATTACATAAATTAAATTTGTGATGTCTTATTTAATTCAAAGTTTGTTTTTATTTATTTTATATAAAATACAAGTTATTATATAAAAATTTAAAATTAAAAACCACGACCTAAAGCCCGGCAAAAATTTCAAATATAAGTTTTTTCTTATTATTATAATGTTTTTTCTTATTATTATAATGTATTTTGTTATTATTGTTTTTTTCTTATTATTATAAAATTTTTTTCTCATTATTATAATGTTTTTTCTTATTATGTTTTTTTTATTATAATGTTTTTTCTTACTAATAAAATAATGTTGAAAAAAATTAAATTATTGAATTAAATTATGATGTAGTTAAGTAAACATATTTAGAACGTTTGAATGTTAGAATTTTAATATTCATATTGTGGTGAGAAACAACAAAGTAGGTGAAAATTGTCAGATTTTTGATATTTGAAAGTATTTTATTTAAATATTCATTCAGATTATTTTTGTGATGTAGTTAGTTTGCTTCTAGAGTTGTATGAAGAAAACAATAAAAGTTTTGTGTTGCAATAAAATACTGTTTTTTAATTAACAAAAACTATCTTGCTATTGCGAGCACAACAATATATTTAAATTGATTTTTTAAACAAATTATATGTTATTGTAAAAGTGAAAGTCTGTCATGGCCAATTTGTCGCAGAATTGTAACAGATGTTAGTTTCGCAATAATTGGGGGCAATATTAAAGGTTTTCAATGGAATGGATTCTGTTTTAGAATACTTAAGCCATTCATATGCTTTTGTGAATAATCCAAAAAAATTGAATTTTGTTGCTATACAATTTTGTGTTAGCCACTACTGCAAAATTATTTGCAAAGATATAGACAAAGCAGTAGATAAAACTAATTCCCTCAAGGTTAACAATTTAAGAAAATTCTTAAGAGAATCTATGGGAATAGTTTTCAATTTATGTACCCTAAAAGACTGCAATTTTATATAGTCTATACACCGCCGATGTCCCCAAAATGAAACCGACAACATTATGTTTCTACGCTGACGATACCTGCATCCTCTATTCCGATAGGATCGCTAGTAACGTAACTAACATAATACAAAAACATGTCGACCAGCTTTCCAATTATTTTCAGAAATGGAAAACTAAACTTAACTCGGAGAAAAACAAAGCGATCTTTATTACGCGAAAATGAATGAAAGCAGCATCCCCTGGGAAGACACCCTAAAATATCTTGGGGTCACAACATTTGATGCCAAATTCACATAAAAACAACACGTAAGATTAAAAAAAGGGCCATGTGCTAGTATGCTAAGCCAACTCAGGCCGCTATTCGACAACAGATTAAACATCAAGAATAAAATGCGCATTTACAACCAAATTATCAAACCCGCGCTACTATACGTTTGTGTAGCGTTTAGTAAAACTGCTAAGTTAACAATACAACAAATACAAACATCCCAGAATATAGCTCTAAGAAAAATACTGAAATGTCCATGGTATATCCGAAACGCAAATATACACAAAGTTCTGAATATAAAATCAGTTAAGTAGTACATCCGAGATAAAGCATTAAAATTCTTCAACAAGATAGACATCCACACAAACCTAACACCCACTTCACTCTCATCTCACCAAAGACAAAGTATTCAAACCGAAGGAAGATACGCTGATCTCAGAACTCTTACACTTTACGATGAAGAAATAAAACAGACGCCAAGTATAGTGAAACACACCTATAAGTGTTCACCTATAAGTAAAAGAAAAGGTACTAACATAATAGATACCAAACTTCAGTAATCTAACAAATCGAATCAAACGCAAACGGGAAATTCCTTGACTTATTAAAGAACACGCACTTGAAACTCTCGTTTGAAAAGCGTACTTAAGGAGCGCACATAGTGCATTCATGATCAATATTCAACGCGGAACGGCGCGGCACTATGCGGCAACGTCAACACATCTCTTAAAAATTAAATAATTTAGTAAATAAAATAGTGAAAGTATTATTGCAAAACTTTGTATTAAATTAATTAAAAAACAGACTTCATTGACTGAAGTACATTTATATAAGCATGTTAATATGTATGTTAATATATGTCGCTTTGTTTCAACATTCCATTCAAGCTTAGACGAATCCATATCATATTCCAAAAACACGGAAGACAGTTTCAATATTGCTCCTTTAATGGCATTCAAGAAACAATATGACTACCCAGATGTCAACCGAAGTGTGCTTATTGCGTTGTCTTTATAGTTATTACAATAATGCTTGCGTTTTTTATACTTTAAAACTGTCAGATATAAAGAAAATTCATTCACCTCCTACGCTTATTGTACAGATCCTTCCGGCAGCATTTATATCTTTAAAGGTTACTTTAATGGCAAAGTAACGGTATTTGCTTCAAATAATCAATTGAAGCATACCACAAATTACGATAAAAGTGCTCAATGCAGATGCAAGGCATTGCTGTTAAATTTCGCACTAAAGAACTCAATAAGTAATGTAAAAGTTTTGAGAAGGTCGGAAGAAATGATAAAGTAAAGTCAGTATCATATTACAGAAATGTAAAAACATTAAGCATAACATATATTTAAGTCTCCACCTAAAGATTTCATACAATATTTGTCGACAAAACTTGAAGTTTATTTATGGGATTTCTTCCAAATTCATATATTGCAACAAAAAGAACATTTCTTATTGAAAAAAATGAATCATACCATTTACATCCTTCAAAATATAAAATATATAGAAACGTAAAATATAATTATATAAAAATAGAAATAGATATATAAAATATAAATATTTAAAAATATAAAATGTAAATATAAAAATATAAAATATATAAATATAAAAATAAATATAAATTTAAATATAAAAATACAATTGCCTGCACACAAGCTAAAGAATCCAGAATCAGAAGCCAAAATTAGGGAGCTACTTATGCTTAACAGATTGCGGAGTTAAAAAGCATCTATCGAACATAGACATTACTAGAGACGATAGTTGCGAAGAAAAGGTAACAGCAGAAGTCATTCTGTGTCACTGTGATAGTCTCGCCAGATTCAGACTTCGGTACTTATACACTGCCTATCCACTTATAACGGAATTAGGCAACATCTCTCCAAAGGACATAATGGCGTTCTTAACTGCTACTCGTCTATGGTACTAAAGTGGGTATGTCACAATAATCCTCAAACGATGCAGTGACGTGGTGACAGGTTTCCAACCCGTTTTAAAATCTAATCTAAATCTAATCTAGTAATGGGCCAATAGTCGTCTTTTAAAAGCATTAAGGATTTGTTTTTTACTCTAATCAACAAAAATTGGGTCGATTTATTTGTCAGTTAGAAAAAATATCTAATTCCTCACTTAAATTACTACAAATGTATAACATACCGCATCTATTTTAGAAGCACATGCTAATAAAACACTTTTAAATATACCTAAACTTGGAAAAAAAAAATAAAATTAAACTGCGGCAGGATCTGTTTTCAAAGAAATTTGCTAGTCTACGTAAATTTTATTCTAATTTTAAATATACTGCAGCTGTTAGCAATTATAATCATTAGGCAGTACCTCATTCTTATTCGAAGATTAATGCTTTTGTCCCAATTTCTTCAACCATGGAGGGTAAATTTCTAAAAATTATTACGAAACACAGTATAAATAACATAATCTGTCTAACAAGCGATATACATTTAATTTTTAATTCTAAAAACCTTATATATTAGAGTTTACAAAAATGATAACCCACTTATCATATTGATAAGTTTGACATTTATATCTAACGATTGGTTAGTGAACACAATAATCGAATATACAATAAGTAATAATATATATGAAAATTCTGAGCAAAACTGCGTTCTCTTACCTTTGTAAAACACAGGTCCTAAAAATTTTGATAACAGTCATATTAAAAGTCCAAAGTATATTATTGCACCTCATATTTATAATCGGCATTCTCTTAAATTTCTAGTTGACTGTACAAAAAGCGAAATATTATTTTTAAACCAGTATGAACCTACAAAACAAAGCAAACGATCTTCTAACTATTATTTTCATCTATTAAATAATATTTTTTCCATTAAATAATTGGCAAATAGGCAACCGTATTGACAACAAACACAGTGAAACCGATTTTAATAATTGCAGTATATACATATATAATATAATTTGCTGAATGTTTCTTAATAAATACAGATATAAGTGTATTGGAAGCACCATTTTTATATAGAAAAACATCAAACAAAAAAAACATCCACTTTATTGTGATAGCTTATTTTAGCTGTGTCTATATTGTGCTTAAAAATAACTCTTTTAACTAAACATTGTACAATATGCGATAGTTAAATTTGTAAAAATTGTCTTTTACAATGCTATCAGTGTAGACTTATTGATGATCAACATATAATTTGACATATGTTGTATGTATATCATTATCATTATTAGCGTTACAGCTCGGGGTGAGGTTTAGCTATATCAACCAGCTTTCTCCATTCTAATGTTTGATGTTGTTTTAGACGACCAATTTTGGATAAACATTTTTCTGACGTCTTCGGTCACATTGGAGAGCCATACGTGGCCTGCCTCAACTGCGGTCGTTATACGACGTGAAAATTGAGTATTCACTTTTGTGGTCTATCATCCAGCATTCTTATGACGTGTCGATCCATCTTAATCGCTGCGATTTTGCGAACCTTACAGCATCTTCACCGTTACAAAGCTGCAGTAGCTATGTGTTTCTTGATCTCACTGGTTA